CCCTGTGGGAGCACACTGACCACCAGGGGGCAGCTCCTGTGTTGAGCATCTGTCCCCTGGTGGTCAGTGTGCATAATAGCGACCAGTCGTTCCTGGTCATTCCGCCATTAGGGTCAATTTGCATATTACCCTTTTATTATATAGGATAAGTGCATGAGTTAGGCTTGGTTGGAAGCAATAGAAACCAGTTTTGGTTAAGAAAAGAAAAAGAGACAATTGGTAGTATTAGAGGGCTCATGAGATCAGCAGAGCTGTATTTAGTGTTAGGAATGGGCAGAAACCAAGGCCATTTGAGAGACTAAGAAGCAGGACTCATAACAAAGAAAATTCAGGTCAGGATGCAGCTATTGAAGGGAGGTGGCAAGATAGAGGTTGGTGGTGATCTGAATGAAAGTCATTTCAGTGGAGACCATGAAAATTTGATTGGAAAAGATTGAAGAGATGCAGTGGGGGAAACAACTCTTGAGGAAGTTTTCTGTGAAATGAGCACAGAAAGACATGAGGTCAAGAGAAGTTTGTCTTTTATTTTAAAATATATCTCTGTTGATTTCAGAGAGGAAGGGAGAGGGAGAGAGATAGAAACATCAATGATGAGAGAGGATCATTGATTGGTTATCTCCTGCATGCCCCACACTGGGAACTGAGCCCACAACCCTGGCATGTGCCCTGACCGGGAAGCGAACCATGACCTCTTGGTTCATAGGTCCACACTCAACCACTGAGTCACATCGGCTGGTGAAGTTTGTCTTTTGTTACTGCTACTTAGCATGTTTCTATGATGTTGACACTGAACCACTGGCTAGAACACAATTCCCTGCAAAAGTTCCTGGGCTGCTTCCTTCCCATGCTTCATGTCTTAGTTCTGTGTTACTGCTTGCTCCTAGCTGTATACTCTTGTTGTATCTTCTGTACAGTACTAGTCCCTGTCTAAAATCACCTCCTGTATTTGTTTGATTGCCTCCATGGACTAAAGTATGAAATTTAAAGACTGGCAACTTTGTCGTGCTTACCGCTGTACTGACCATCAGCATCGAGAAAAGTGCCTGTCATGCACCCGAGCCTCAATAAGCATTTGTCAGATAAACAAATAAGCAAACAGATAGCTAGAAATTCAACTGTTTCATCCATTCTTCTCTAATTTGAGACCCAAAGTCCCAGGATGAAGTTGCTAAGTAGCCAAGTTCAGATGCTGTGCAGTCCTTCATCAGGAAGGAATTTTCCCTCCTTGGGTTCTACAGGGTGGGGCAAAAGTAGATCTACAGTTGTTCTTATGGAAAATAATACAATAATTAACACATAGTAATACAAGAATAAACACCGTGTATATGAATTTACTGTCCTTTCAAAACCGAATATTTGGGGAGAGAGGCAATTCCCACGGGGAAATAGGATTTCCTATGCTCACCGTAGTACACACCTGTAAGGAGGGAGAAGGACTGTTTCTTCCTGCCATTAGAAATGCCATAGAAGAAAAGTTTGCATTCCTGCCCATCAATTAACAGCTTTCAATTTCATTCCTGTGTTTCCTGAAGAAAGCCTTTAGGACCTGGGGTAGGCAAGTCTCTCTGCTCACACTGATAAACATTCCTCTCCATTAAAACAGGCGGGAAGCCTGGAGATAATTAGACCCTCCTGTGTCAAGCAATCAGCAGCACAGGGAAGAGGTCACAAATAAACAATGATAAAAGAGCTGGCCGATTCTTGAGAGAAACAGAAGGAAAACCTCTGCAATCAGCTGAAAAGTGTTTCGGTTACTGTGGTTCATAGACTGATCTGTTATTTGTATAATGTAACTTTGGTTTCTGTCTCACCATCACCATCTTTTCTTGTCCTCCTTCAGCAAAGACACACCCAGACACCAGGCACAGGCATAGTCATCTTATGTCCATCACAATAAAAGCATAGTAAACTTTCTTCGGTCAATTCTGTAAAAGCAGTCACTTATTTCCACAAGAGGAACACCTATTGAGGCATTTCTTTTTGCTTTTATTTATTTACTAGAGGCCCAGTGCACAGATTTGTGCACCAGTGGTGTCCCTCAGCCTGGCCTGCGCCCTCTCGCAATCCGGGACCCCTGGGGATGTAGCAATGCACAAAGCAGCAGGTGGCCGGGGAGGAGCCTGAGCCAGAGCAGGCACACATTGCTTCCACTCAGCTCATCCCAGCCCCACTGCGCCTGCTGCTGCCATGGCTTGGTAGTGCTGCTGTGGAGGCGGGAGAACCACTGCACTTGCGCTCTCCAGCCATGAGCCTGACTTCTGGCTGAGAGGCACTCCTGAGATGGGAGCACACTGACCACCAGGGGGCAGCTCCTGTGTTGAGCATCTGCCCCCGGTGGTCAGTGTGCATCATAGCAACCAGTCGTTCGGTCATTCAGTCACTTAGGCTTTTAAATATATAGATAGATTCTTTTCAATGCTTGGGATATGTCAAGTTTGAAGAGCCCTTTGGAAATCCAAGACCTGCTTCCTTTACTCTTTTTTCAAAAGAACATTGATGGCTACTAGAATGATAACCTTGATACAATGATCAGCTCCACAAAATCAGGGACAGTAAGATTTCATTCATGTCTAGCACCATGCCTAGGACATAATGAGTTTTCAGTGAACATTTGGTAAATACATGCATAAACAATGGAAAGTCAGTGGACAGATGAAGGCCACAGGGCTATTTCCCAAGCAGAGATTCTATAGACCTCCACTTCCTCTTCTCAGCCCCATGACTTTCCTGCAAATCTGCTGTCTGTCTGTCTTGATCTTTCCTCAACGCTATGTTTTTTCTTCTACCTTCCTTTCTGGTCTTACTGATACTTTGTCACCTAACTTTGATAAGGAATCCTGATAAGCATTAGCATGAGAGCATACCAAGTATGCATATTCCTTGAGATTTTTTCTTGTTATATACACATATATGATTTCTGATTCCAAGAAAAGATTCATTTTTGACAAACCACAAGGTCAGTGTTTAAATTGTGCATAGTAATCTACAAGAGCCCCAAAGAACGCACAGTGTCTTTTTAATTTAAAGTATTGTTAGTGGTGAAAGTGCCAATAATTTATATGTATTTCTAGAGGTGTTTTCTTTTAATCCTCACCAAGGATATGTTTTTATTGATTTATTATTGTTTAGAGAGAGAGGGGGGAAGGAAGAGAATGAAACATTGATTTGAGATAGAAACATCGATCCATTGCATCCCATACATGCCCCAATGAGGGATTAAACTTACAACCTAGGTATGTGCCCTGGTTAGGAATCAAACCCACAATCTTTTGGTGTATGGGATGATGCTCCAATCAACTGCGTCACCCGGTCAGGGCTATTTCTAGTTTTGTTATAATATCCCTTTTTACGTTAGACTTAGAGGGAAAAATTATAGTTTTTCTTAAAATTCAGTTTCAGTTTTAAAAATAAGACCATTTCAGTGACTTTCATTCATAAGTACTTTTTCTTAACTTGATCATAAAAGAAAATGATTGTTAATTTTATTATGTAGCCTCCTCAGTCAAGAATTCTATAGACCAATATGTTTACGATAAACCTGCTAATTAGTTCACCACCTTCTGAAATCCTTCCCCCATAGTATTCATTTAAGGAGAGCTAACAATGGAGAAGTCACTCTGTTTTTTCAAGGACTTCTTTGAGTCTGTGTTGGTGTCAGCCAATCTCCCCACCTCTCCTTTTGATTAGTGAGATGTAAGATAAGAGCAATAACCATTATAAATAACCAGTGCCTACACTACCTTTCACCAGCCATTACTGAGATGACCTTCCTTTCATAAATTGTTATGAACCAAATGCCTGGTGAAGGTCTGTACGTTCTTCTATCATATACTAAAGAATGATCAACCCTGTGGCTGTTTTAATAAGATGGGCTAAGGGAACAGAACAGAATGTTCGAGCTGGAAGAAATGACAGAAACAGCTCAAGTGAGACTTTTATAAATAAGAAAACTAAGGCGAGCTGACTTGCTGAATTCTATACTGGCTGCTAACTGGGTGCAATGCCAGTCCTTGTCTTTCCGCATCTACCTAGTTAATGATTTTTCCAGCCAGACACCAACTGCTCAAGGTTCATAACTTTACTCATAGGATTGTTTTACCAAGAGGCCGGGGGCTTAAAGCTCCTTTGGAGAAGTAACTGCTAATTACACTCTTTACTAGTAATTGGTCAGTTCTTACTATACCCATTACTATTATGGTTATTTGATCTATATGCTCTATCCCTAGAAACAAGTTCTGTGATTTAAAAAACCGCTAACCAAGGTAATTTATTTTGGGATGGGCTGTGTGACTAGGTTTGGGTGAGCCCAGGAGATAAGGGAGTGCTTTTCATCCACACACTGCAGAGCTCGCACATGTACTTCCTGCCAGAGCAGGAAGTAAAGTGAATACAGACTGACCTGGATCCACACATGTGTCCGGGAAGAGATGTAGCAAATGGCTGGGAGCAAGTGGCTGCTGTCTTCAGATGAACAACAGAGCAGTAAGTGGCCGCGCATGAGTTGTGACAGGGAGCAGAGGTCCAGTTAATCAGGCATAATGTAGCACCTCTGCAATGCTGTGTCAAGAAAGAAGTCTTCATTAGGATACGGCCAGGTAGGGTTTCTGTCTGGGGCCAATGAGTCCCAGGGAAAGTCATCACAATTAGGGATCTGTGGCAAAAACCACTGAGAAGCCTGTACCCCAGTCCATTTCTGTGTCGGCACCCCTCTCTAACAAGCAGTGTGACTATTTCCTTAGCACTGGTCCTGGAGGTAGCAGACTAAGGTTCGAGCACAAAACCACTGCTGCTGGCCACTCTGAATGCTTTTTTCAGAAATAATGAATATGCAGTGATTCCTCGTGTATAGTCATATCTGTATCTGATTGGTGAGGGGTTTCTGAGGCTTTGTAATTGGGATTTTTTTTCTTTGAGAAGTTAACTGTCTTTTCCACAGCCATTCTGGTCGCCTAGCAACAGGGGACAGCAGAGCAGTAACAGGGATTCTAAAACTCTAAGGAATGGGGATAGTTGATGTCTGTCCCATGGACAGGGTACCCCAGTGGGCCTGACCTGAGATGGGACAATGTTATGGCAGGAAATCTGTAGCTCCGGAGTCTGAAACCCCAGAGAGAATCAGGTGAGTCCACAGCTCTTCTTTTCCCAAAATAATTCATAGGATTTTGAGATAAAGTAGCCTTGGCTCAGTGCTTCCAGGAAAACCTTTCTATAAAATCTGGGGGAAAACATTAGACAGACTTTCCATCCTTTCTTGGGGAATGACTCTGTTATGTTAACCAGGCTGTCTTCCCAGATCACAGGGCAGGACCTGAACACACAGTAGGTCTTCAACAAATATTTGTCAAATGAATAAGCTGTCTCTCACTTGCTCTTCTCAAAATCACATCCTCACCCCAACCATTTTACTGGTGTAGGAAGGGGTGTGGGGGCGGGGGAGCTGACCTCGGCCTTTTTTAGAGCCACGGCAATAAAATGTCACCTTCACTGCTCTGTTGACAGGAGATATACACAAAAGAAGACAGGTCATTCCAACACCCCCAAGTAAAAGCCCAAACCAAATCTAGCTACAAATATGGAAGCACAGTTCACCTCTGTAACTGATCTATGGTTAATCACTGGAAAACTTTCATGTTGGCACAATACTCATTTCCCTCTCAAATGTGGAATTACCTTCCATTTTGAATTTTCTTATACACCTTGGATGAGAGCTGGACCCAGGAAGGCGGTATTCTGTGCGTTATGGTCACATGTAACCATAGTTCTGCTTTGTGAAGCTTTAAAATGTATTTTTTTTATGACATGAAATGTGTGGGCCTTGTTTTTTATTTATTTTTACCCTTGAGTCTGTGGTCTGTGGGTGATGTGGGAAATTCATAAAGCCCCCCCAATTTTATGTGAAGTGTTTCCATATGCGAAAGAGTGCATGAACCTCAAAAAATTAACCATCTTTGGGAGGGAGGAAATTTTGTCTGTTGAAAATGAATTTAGCAAACACTCATTTTTTTAAAATTTCCCTGAACATTGCACCTAAAGAGGTAATATGTCCATGTGCTGACAATTGGAGAGGTGGACATGTTACCAAATGGAAGAAAAATGCCCTGTGGTTAACAACTTTGAAATGAACAGCCCAGTGTACAGCCAGCAGGGGAGCCAGGTGGAGAGCCAGACTTTGCTCTCACTGCCGACGATCACTGGTGTTTTTGTTTTCCTGGTAGATGAAGCTCAGTGTTCTGTGCAAGGAGAGAGCAGGGCTCTGAGGCAGGAGACCGTGGACCACGCTACCTTGGTTAACCTTTAGGTGGGTTCAGTTCAGCTCCTTCCCTTCTAAGCAGGAGTAAACTGGTCCCATTATCTACTTGCCTGCCCTACTTTCTTTCCCCTCTTCCTTTCTTCTCGTGCCCTGAGACAAACCTTCTCCAAAATTTATACAAACCAATGGGAACTTGCTTCTAAGTTGTCTACGTAAGGGAGGGTAAGGCCTGGGATGCAATTAACCTAGGGAATAAAAAAAAAGCATCTTCCCAGGAAACTCTTTCCTATAAATAAAACTTTATTAAAATCATTTATTCAGAGGGACTCATCGGTGACTGATTACCAACTTCAACTCAGCATTAAAAACATAAGGTAAAAGGTTTGGAAAACAGAAAGATTTCACTTAAAGGAAGGAATCATGTTATGTTCTTGTCAAGCACTGAGAAAAAATAACTGTAAGGCTTACTTACAAGTCACATTATTAGTCCCTGCCAGTAGAAATTTAAATAAATTTTTTCAGTTTTCCCATGAACAGTGAAGAAAACACTGCAATGAAAACAAGCTTTGTAAATATATTTGTTCGCTTTAATTTGTTTTCTCTCAGGCTAATAGGCTTTACAGAGCTTTTCCCCCTTAATTATGGTACAACATGACTTGTACTGTGTATGCTATGCTGCTATGGATACTCTAAGGCCATGACTCATGACCTTTAAATATTATTGTCAGGCAGCCAAAGGTCTCTCACTTTTTTTTTTTTTTTAGCTCTCTCACTTTTAAACCAGTAGTTTTGTTTCAGGCCCTGTTAAGAGAAGGTGGTTTCAAATAGTTTTCTCGTGTATATTTGTAGCCCATCTGAATATGCACATTAGGGTTTTGTACTCAAATGTTTTGTTTTGTTTGGCTTCCTTTAGTGACATAATATGAATTTCTTGTTTGGAATGTCATTGGGTGACAAAAAATATAAATAAGGTATAGTCCTCATATTCCTATGAGAGTGTCACTGAGAAATGCAAAGACATAGGCAGACAAATAATTATATACAGCGTGAAATGTAATAAGGGATATAAAACACAAACATCCAAAAACTACAGAGACAAGAAATACCTCTGATTGGTAGGGTCAGAGAGGCAGCTTTTGAGCTATAGTGTGAGGAATGGGTAAGGTTTTGACAAGCAGAGAAGAGAGCTTGAGCATTCTAGTTGGAAAAAACAACCCGAGAAAAGGATAAATACATACTCTGGAACTACTGGGTAGAGTTTGGTGAAAATATCAGTTTCATGAGCTGCACTGATAAAAGATAAAATTAGTAAGAAGGCAAGAGGGGCCAGCCTAGTAAGGTCTTTCCATTTGTTGTGTTGTCCAGCAACTGTGATAACCAAGAGACTGTTTTCCATTTCATGATAGTTACTGTCAAGTAGAAAGCACCAAAATACTGTTGTTTTTTTATTTAGGTACAGTGCAAGGAAAGTAATTACTTCTATCAGAACCTCAATGTGTCCTTCCACTAAGTGGGGATTTCATTAATTTTGCTCAATAGTTACTGATTACTTTGTGAACATTTTTAAATGAATTTAAAAAATTTTTGAAAAGTGAGAGGCATGCACAGAAATATGGAAATAAAATAATACATTTGTTAGGGAGATTGTAGGATAGAAAATAATAAAAGTACCCCTGGTCTTTAAAGTAAGGTTTATTGGTTGGCTAAAGTAGAATGAGATTTATTAAGATTTAAGATTTATTAAATCATCTATTTATGCATTCATTCATTGAACAAATATTTATAGACCTTCCTAGCCCCCTTCAGGATGCTAAGGATAGAGTAACAAAAATAACAATAGAAAAAAAAATTCTATTTTCAAGGAGTTTACATTTTCAGTAGGGAGGAGACACAATAAATACAATAAATAAGCAATGATGTAGCGTGTTAGAAGGTTTTAAGTACTTCAAAAAAATAAGCAAAATGATAAGGATGGATATTTCAATTTTCAATGAGGTACATATGGCAGGCCTCTCTGAGAAAGTGATATTTGAGCAAAGAGTTAAAGGAAATGGGAAAGAACCAAGTAGACAGGTGTGGAGAAAGTATTCCTGGCAGAGGAACTTGAGATGCGAGTCTCTATGGGTGGCTGAGGAAGAGTGAGGAGGCTGGTGTGACTTGCATGTGAGGGGTTGAGAAGGAGAATATTACGTGGGGTCAGGAGGGATTGGGATGGAGCCCTATGGTGGATGGGAAGGGTGAATGGCAGAGACATCTGTAGGACCTTGTAGGCCATTATATGGACTTTGGATTTTATTCTGAGTGACATGAGATCCCTCGTTTGAGGGTTCTGAGCACAGGAGTGAAATGATTTTCCTTATGGTTGATGTATGGAAAACAGAATATAGGGGGCAAAGGTGGAAGCAGAGAGCACCATTTAGGAGGTTAATTCAATAGCCCAGACAAGAGCTAATGGCAGCTTGAACCAGGGTGTTAACAGTGCAGGTGGTGAGAATGGTCGGATACTGGACATATTTTGATGGTAGAACCAAAAATTTCCTGATGGATTGGATATGGGTTCTGAGACAAAAATAGGAGTCAATATTTTAGCCCGAGCAATGATGTCATCAACTGAAATGGGGAAGACTGCAAGTAGAGAAGATTTGGGAGTAGGGATCAGGAGTTAGGTTTTGGAAATGTTTAAATTAAGGTATCTGTTCTTATCTCAAAAATAAGATATGAGATGTCAAGAAGGCAACTGAATGAGTGAATCTGGAATTCGAGGAAGAAGTCTGGACTAGAGATATGTATTTGGGAGTGATCATCATATTGATGGTATTTAAAGCCAAGAGGTTGAATGAGATCACCAAGGGAGTGAATGTAACTAGAGAACAGAAGACGTTCTAGAGCCCGTCAAAGTCGAGTGCTCAGGGAGGTGGGAAAGGACCATCAAAGGAGACTGAAGAGCAGCAGGTGGTGCAGGAAAGAAACCTAGGACCTTAGGGTGTCCTGGAGCCAAGTGAAGAAAGTATTTCCAGGAGGGAGTGATGCATCATGCCAAAACTCTGAAGTAAGGTGAGTTGTGACAAATGACCCTTGAATGTAGTAATGTGGAGATCACTGGTGAATTCAGTAAGTGCAGTTTCTGTGGATTATTTTAACAAACTGAATGGAGTGGCTTTAACAAAAATTAGGAGGAAAGGAATTGGAGACAGTGAGCATATAGTTTTGCTATAAAGGCGGGGGAATATTCAAGCAGAAACTAAAAGGTTAAGAGGGTTTGAGATGCAAAGAATAACAGCATGTTTGGAAACTATTACAAATGATCCGAGAGAGAGAGAGAGAGAGAGAGAGAGAGAGAGAGAGAGAGAGAGAGAGAGAATGAATTCCCCAAGCGTGCTATTTCATAGGATAATATGCTTCCCTCCCTCTATTTCTTTTTTTAGAGGAAAGAAGAGATTTCGCAGGTTTACAGAACAGATTGTACTGTTTGGACTGCTTATTCTCAAGAGAACCTTTAAAAGCTATTTATCTTCTCTGAGTAAAGTTTACATTCCATAGTTTTGACTTCCTTTGGAAATGTTCAGAAATTGACATTTGGAGGAAATACTTTAGGAAATTTATCTTCAATATTACAGTATAAAGACCTATTTGGTGTGGTGGTGGTGGTGGTGGTGGTGGTGTGTGTGTGTATACAAGTGCGTATGTATATGTGTGTGTATACAAGTGTGTAAGCTTCTGAAATAAAATGTTGAAATTAAAACTCTTACTTTATTCCAGCATCACATCTACAAACTATCGGTAAGAAATAAAGTTTGCATAAACTATTTAAAAAACATTAAAGTTAATAAAATTGTAACTTCTTTAATTAATAAAATTGCAACTTCTTT